TGGGTAGAGCAGACATTTCCATATGTTTTTGTTAGCTGCATGTGCGACATAACTCCACCAGTCCTACCGATGATATCATTTACGAAGATTATACCTTTTTTAAACATTCTGTCAAAAAATTAAGGTTTTTTGTCAATTAGTATATTTGAATTTAACCACAATATTTGTTGCATTATTTGTTCTGTCGTTTCTGGAGGATTAAATTGAAATTGCAACCAACTTTCTATGGCTTGTTTTAGAAATAGTGACATTTGGGAGATTATTTCCTTTTCAAATAACTGAAAGTGTGAGATTGTAATCTGAATAAAGGGAAAAAGGCCTTTCTTGAACAGTGGGTGAGACAATCTTACTAATTTACTTGAGAACCAGTTCGGATTTAAGTATAACTTTTGGATGACTGAAGATTTTAGTGATAGGTCTAATGCTTTAATATTTAATAATTTCTGTCCTCCGAATTCATATTCATTATATAAATATGCTCTTTTAATTTTGTCTGGCTTGCCGTTCCAAATAAAATTGAATATTTTTTTCTCATATATTTTAAAAAACTGTTTGCTAGGCGTAGGCAAGACCATAAGCAAATAGGTAAACTGGGATAATACTAAAGAGTTAATCAGGGTGATTTTTCCACAAATTGACAGGTATTTTCCTTTCCATGGTAGTAAGATCTTATCTATTTTTGCTAACTTTCTATTAAAATGTATTAAAGTGAGATCATTTATTTCCTTTGGGATATGTATTCCGAGTATATCCACATCACCATCAGACCATTTTATTGGTAAACTACATGGTAATGTAAAAATTGTATTTTTTAGTGATCCAATACGTAATATAGTACATTTGTCATAATTTGGTTTTAATCCAGAGAGGTTAGAAAATGTATCTAGATCCTCTATGAGGCTGTGGAGGGATTCTAGTTGTGGATCTAAAAGAAAACATGAATCATCTGCGTACAATGACACCTTTGTTTTTAAGCCCTGTATTTCTAATCCCCTGATATTATTATTGGATCTGATTTTAATAGCTAACATCTCGATGGCCACAATAAATAGATATGCCGATAGTGGACAACCTTGTTTCACTCCTCTTGATAGTTTAAAACTTTCTGAGAAATACATTTACATTTTAGTCATTTAGCAGCCGGCCATTCCCTCCCCTACCCTGGACGACGCTGGGCCAATTGTGTACCGCCCCATGGGTCTCCCGGTCGCGGCCGGCTACGACAGAGCCTGGATTCAAACCAGGATCTCTAGTGGCACAGCTAGCACTGCGATGCAGTGCCTTAGACCACTGCGCCACTCGGGAGTGAATACCAGGAATAGTATAATAGTAATCCTTCTACCCCCCCTTTTCTACCACTGTCATTTGTCTAAACTAACACCTGACTTATTTCACCTGCTAGCACTGACTTGTTTAAAGAAATGTACTTATTGTGATCAAGATGTGGTTGTCCCACTGGCTATCCTAAATTGAGTGTACCAATTTGTAAGTCGCTCTGGATAAGAGCGTCTGCTAAATGACTTAAATGTAAAATGTAGCTTGATTAATAACCTGAACCAGATTACAGGCACTGGTTACAGTGAGAAGCTTCCTCTTGAGCGGACAGCTTGATAAAAACCAGTCAATATTCAGGTCCCCAAGAAAGTAGACCTCTCTATTTACATCACATACACTATCAAGCATTTCACACATACAGTGCATTCGGAAAGTATTCAGACCCCTTTACTTTTTCCACATTTTGTTACGTTACAGCCTTATTCTAAAATTGATGAAATAATTTTTTTCCCCTCATCAATCTACACACAATACCCCATAATGACAAAGCGAAACATGTTTTTAGACATTTTTGCTAATTTATATAAAATAAAAAATAAACAGAAATACCTTTTTTACATAAGTATTCAGTCCCTTTGCTACGAGACTCGAAATTGAGCTCAGGTGCATCCTGTTTCCATTGATCATCCTTGAGATGTTTCTACAACTTGATTGGAGTCCACCTGTGGTAAATTCAATTGATTGGACATGATTTGGAAAGGCACACACCTGTCCATATAAGGTCCCACAGTTGACAGTGCATCTCTGCAGCACTCCCCCAATCAGGCCTTTATGGTAGAGTGGCCAGACGGAAGCCACTTCTCAGTAAAAGGCACATGACAGCCCGCTTGGAGTTTGCCAAAAGGCACCTAAAGACTCTCAGACCATGAGAAACAAGATTCTATGGCCTGAGGAAACCAAGATTGAACTCTTTGGCCTGAATGCCAAGCGTCACATCTGGAGGAAATCTGGCACCATCCCTACGGTAAAGCATGGTGGTGGCAGCATCATGCTGTGGGGATGTTTTTCAGCGGCAGGGACTGGGAGACTAGGCAGTATCGAGGGAAAGATGAACGGAGCAAAGTACAGAGAGATCCTTGATGAGCGCTCAGGACCTCAGACTGGGGCTAAGGTTCACCTTTCAACAGGACAACGACCCTAAGCACTCAGCCAACACAAGTCTCTGAATGTCCTTGAGTGGCCCAGCCAGATCCCGGGCTTGAACCCGATGGAACATCTCTGGAGAGACCTGAAAATAGCTGTGCAGCGACGCTCCCCATCCAACCTGACAGAGCTTGAGAGGATCTGCAGAGAAGAATGGGAGAATCTCCCCAAATATAGGTGTGCAAACTTGTAGTGTCATACCCAAGAAGACTCAAGGCTGTAATCGCTGCCAAAGTACTGAGTAAAGTGTCTGAATACTTATGTAAATGTGATATTTCCGTTTTCTATTTTTAATAAATATGTAACAAATTTAAAAACCAGTTTTTGCTTTGTCATTATGGGGTATTGTGCATAGATTAATGAGGGGGGAAAAACGATTTAATCAATTTTAGAATGAGGCTGCAATGTAACAAAATGTGGAAAAAGTCCAGGGGTCTGAATACTTTCCGAATGCACTGTATTATTTAGATACTGACTGTTTGCACTTGGTGGCCTATAGCAACACCCCAAAAGAATAGGCTTTAGATGTGCCTGGTGAACCTGCAACCACAACACTTCAATAACACTTGACATAAGATCTTCTCTAAGCATTGCAGGGATATGGCTATGAATATATACAGCAACACCTCCCCCATAAGCATTCCTGTCTCTTCTATAGATGTTATATTCTTGTATTGCTACTGCCGTATCATCAAATGAATTATCTAAGTGAGTCTCAGAAATGGCTAATATATCAATGTTATCTGATGTTAGCAAGTTATAGATTTCATTAACCTTATTCCTAAGGCTACATATATTAATTTTGGCTATTTTCAGCCCTTTCCTGGGTAGCTTATCAGAGATAGACATAATATGGAAAAGCAAGATAAAAAAATATACATTCAGCAGTCCATTAATCAGTTGGTGTGTGTAAGTGTGTGTGCTGCGGGATTGAAGTTACGAATCCATAGGCTTGGCTCTCTCATCGCTTCCAGGCTTTTGGGAGGGAGGGTGGACAATGAGCCTTTCTTCTGCTTGGATAGTCCTGGACCAAAAAAAGATAAATGCAGAATCTCCATTGAAAATGCTTTTTAGTCAAGGAATAGGATTACTCTGTGTCCATGAAACCACCCCTTAAAGTTGAGCCAGACAGGATGGTTTACACTATAAACTTCAGCAAACTTTAGCCACTGCTAGCTAAGAAATCAATAGGAGTGGTAGTAAAAATCAATGGGAGTGGTTATTTAGAAAAAGGCCCAATCACCTTTAAGTAACATCAAACCAAATAATTGAGTTTATTTGGTCATGACATTTTTAACACAAATTATACATTGATTAACCTCACGTAGACAGATGCAAGTAAGATACATGGTAGAAGCATCTGTCAACAGACTGTGGGATGTGACGACTAAGAAGTACGCTGATTTTTTATCATTGGTCATTTGGACAAATCCCGATTTTCCGTCTTTGGATTTTCAGAAGAGCAGGGGACATTTGGTGAAAAGATAAACAACGTGGTCGACTCCACCTTTATATACATTTAAATCGGGTGCTGGATCCTTGTGTATATAATCCAAAGAACATAAATAGGACAGCGCTCCGGTAAATAAACTTAAATTGAAATATCTTTATTGCCGCTTTGGGTATGAGCCCTTCTTCAGCGTGCAAGGCATTGGCAATCAATGTCACAACAACAAGAGCACACAGGTGGGCATAACTATAAATTCCCAGTCAGTATTGGCCCAATCAAGAGATCCCAGCAGAGGGAGCTGTGGGGGAAACATGACAATCAAATAAAGATAGACACACAACACAAATACATTATGATGTCATTACCTACATGTTTGGCCTATTTATAACCTACCACAAAAACAAGAAAAATAACATTCCTCATTATAGGAGCACACTCAAAACAGGAACTGAGGATGAAGCATGTAGCTCATGGCATTAAAGAAAGCATGTCTCTTTTACATGTACATTTTTTAGACATTTTAGTCATTTAGCAGACGCTCTTATCCAGAGCGACTTACAGTTAGTGAGTGCATACATTTTTTTGTTGTTCATCAATGGCTTGAAGAGTTGCACAGAGGAGCGAGCCTATTTCCTCAAGTGGATGAAGATCAATCTGGACAACCTGTCAAGAACACCCCTGTCCCACCTAAAAGAGTACTATAAAGAACAATGTCAGAGCTCTACTAGTAAGAAGAAACTCACTACCTTAGACACATAGATCTCATGTAGCTTCTTGGGAACAGAACACTTCCAAAGAGAAATTGGACAGCTCCATGAGTCTACTTTGTCACTCCCTGAAAGCTATTCCACTCGCCAACAAATCCAAGACCTGCCAAGAATCTGTGCCCAGATCATGTTGGATGGCTTTCCATTGGATTTGATAGATAGATGGTGATGCGTCCAACATCCCAATGAAGTGGATAGAAGATGTTTTGAATGAATTCCCCTATTTGACCAGATGCAGTAGTAACATCCGAGTAGTTACTGTGTTGGGGGTTCAAAGCTCTGGAAAGTCAACTCTTCTGAACACCATGTTTGGGGTCCAGTTTGCAGTCAGCAGTGGAATATGCACCAGAGGTGCCTTCATGCAGCTCATCAAAGTGAAAGAAGATTTAAAGGAGCAGATTGGCTGTGACTTCATCTTGGTAATTGACACAGAGAGGCTTAAAGCCCCAGTACTCGCTCAACTGGCAGAGAGTTATGAACATGACAATGAATTGGCCACACTGGTTGTGGGACTAAGTGACATCACAATCATCAACATCGCCATGGAGAATGCCACAGAGATGAAGGACACCCTGCATATTGAGGTTCGTGCTTTTCTCAGGATGAAGGAAGTGGGGAAGAAGCCAATGTGTCACTTTGCACTTCAGAATGGGCCAGATGTGGCTGCCCATGACAAAAATTCAAGAGACTAAAAGCTGATGTTGAGGCAGCTCAATCACATGACAGGGGTGGCTGCCAGAATGGAGAGAAAGGAGCACAACAATAAATTCACAGACATCATGGAGTATGACCCTGAGAAGGACAGCTGGTACCTCCCTGGACTGTGGTATGGCAATCCCCCCATGGCAATGGTCAATGAAGGGTGTAGTGAAGCAGTGAATTACTTTAAATCAGAAATTATTCAGAAGTTCAGGAATTTAGATACCCCAGCCCATACTGTACAAAACCCTCTCACACACATACAGTCATGGATTTCCTGGAATTGACACGAAGCTTGTGGAATGCAGTTAAGTATGAAAACTTCATCTTCAGCTTCCATAACAGCCTTGAAGCTGATGCATACAACATGCTCTGCGTGAAGTTTAACGTGGGATTGGGACTTTAGAAATCACATGGTGGCGAAAAGCTGAGACAGAGTTATCAAAGGTATCAAAATCTGACCTGCAAAATCTCTTTTAAGGCAGAAGGTATTAACATGTTGAACACTGAGGAGAGGAACATACTGCAGAAGCTGGAAGAGTATTAAAAGAGAAGAGAGAATCATGTTGACCCTGTAGAAAGGTACAAGGATAACTTTGTCAACAGTGCCAAGATCCTGCCTAAAGATACAGAAAACTCCTTGAAGAGCCAACTTGAGATGGCAGTGGAAAGTAACCAGAATATGGCCAAACTAGATCATCTCAAGAAAACCCAGTCTGCCACCATGGAGAAGCAGGTGATAAAATTGCTTGATGCTTGTAGGGGAAAAGATACAGAAATGTCAGATGAGCAGCTGGAGGTTGAATTTGAAGTGCCACAGTGAAATAATTGTCCATCAAAGGACATGAGATATTGATATAGACCTCTATGATTGCTTGAGGTCTAACTTGCAAAGGACTGGAAGTGTTGATGCAACCTGGTCACAGAGCCTTTTGTATTATTCCGTACATAAAACCAAAACACTCCATTTAGTATGATATGTTACGTTTCGTATGGTAAGTATTGATTTGTGGATGTCCATCCCCATTTCGTATGATATGTTACGAATTACAATTCGTATTATATGTTACTTTGCAAAAATATGTTATGAATTTGCAAACGTACTATAAGTTACGAATTCTAGCTAGGTGGTTAACGTTAGCTAGCTGGCTAACTTTAGCTAGGCTAGGGGTTAGGTTTAGAGGTTAGAGTTAAGTTTAGGAGTTAGATTAAAGGGTTAGGGTTAGGGGAAGGGTTAGCTAAAAGGGTTAAGGTTAGGGTTAGGGGAAAGGTTAGCTAAATAGTTGAAAAGTTGCTAATTAGCTCAAATGCTTAAATTGTCCATGATGAGATTCAAACTCTCAACCTTTGGGTTGCTAGACGTTAGTGTTAAATGCCCATCCATCCACCCCGACCAACCATCCTACTTTCATTTTTGCCTTAAGTAACCATCTGTCTTATGTAACCATACCAAACGTGACATATCATACTAATTTGAGTGTCCCGGATTTACATTTACTATGTTACATCTAGTCTATGAGACCAGGCTGGTTGTTCATGAAATGGTTAATAGGATCAGCCGCCTGGATAACTGTATGACATCTGTCTTTCCTCTTAAGGAGTCAGTAATGCTTAACACAAGAGGCATGATGACATCAGTTGCTAAGAACGGGAAAGACTTGTTTCTGAAGGTGTTCCGTTCATCTAGACCTAGATTGGAAATTGAAAAACAAGACATGGCATCCAAAATCATACAAAATGGCACAAAGTTTGTTGCTGATAAAGTAGGGTCAAGGGCAGACTATCAGAGCATATACACTGAGTGTACAAAACATTAAGAACACCTGCTCTTTCCATGACATAGACTGACTAGGTGAATCCAGGTGAAAGCTATGATCCCTTATTGATGTCACTTGTTCAGTGTAGATTAATGGGAGGAGACAGGTTAAAGAAGGATTTGAGACAATTGAGACATGGATTGTGTATGTGTGTCATTCAGAGGGTGAATTGACAAGACAAAATATTTAAGTGCCTTTGAACAGGGTATGGTAGTAGGTGCCAGGCGCACCGGTTTGAGTGTGTCAAGAACTGCAACGCTGCTAAGTTTTTCATGCTCAACAGTTTCCTGTGTGTATCAATAATGGTCCACCACCCAAAGGACATGAAGCCAAGTTGACACAACTTTGGGAAGCATTGGAGTCAACATGGGCCAGCATCCCTGTGGAACACTTTCGACACCTTGTAGAGTCCATGCCCCAATGAATTGAGACTGTTCTGAGGGCAAAAGGGGGTGCAACTCAATATTAAATAGGTGTTCCTAATGTTTTGTACACTCAGTGTATAAGTAGACTGATTAGCAGTTGTATTTCATTACTGGAAATACTGGAAATACTTTATTCCAGCCTAAACTATACCTTGATAATACTATACTATGAAGGGACTGCATGGTGTAGTGCTTAAAGCTAGAATCCTGAACTGAAACAATAACTAAGTGGGCACCCCACCTCTGTTTTGGTAAAAAGCTGAGGGATGGGCCTGGAGAAATGTAACCACTCTCAAATTCATATACAGAGCAAGGACTGACCATCCATGATATCGAAATGATAGTTTTAACCATGTTATGAGGCTTTACAGTTTATTTACATTTACTTTATTTACAAACATTGGAGTAAAACAAGCCTATATTTTGGGTTCTGATGGGTTGAACTAGGCTCATGAGGCATTTACAAGTACTATTATTTAAGAATCAATGGGTATATATCATTAATTTAGAAGTCCAAAAATGGATGTCGCAACTAAGGATTCTAAATGACTAAATGACTAAAAAGAATTTTAGCTTTTTTATAGCTGTTTTTTGTTGTGAGTTTTGTTTGAGAAAATGTGAATGAGGTTGCAAGGGCTAAAACAGCATTTTTGCACTTTCATCATGCCTTACACAGCAATGTACTGTATCATTTATAAATGTATGAGTCAACCGGTTTCATAACCTCATAGCATTGATGCAATTTGTTTCAAAGTGTTATGCGTCACCTGTGTAAATCTGTAGCAGAACATCATAATTATTCTAATGAGAGGCTTCTTATGAGTATCAGTTTAACCTGAAGTTCTAAGCGGAATACATCAGTAACCGAAGGGTGGATTCAACAAATCAGCTAACCGCTGGGACACATCATGAGCTGATAGGCACGAGGGAGCAACACTGTTAACTTCTGGGAAATATTGCCGAATGCAGTGATGAATAGGCAAGACAATTCCAGGATGTCATTGCAATTGAGGTAACCACGGCCCCCAGGTCAGTTGCACCAGTCAGGCATATGCCTGGTCCTAACTATGCGACTTGCTGTAATCCAATATTGTGATCTGCTCCTACTTATATATTTTTAAATATTTTGGTGAATATTTCACTCAAGTTTATCTGCATCATACTAGACGCCTCACACTGGGCATAGACGTCAGTTCAAGGTCTAGTTTTGATTTACAATTGATTGAGTTGTAAACTAACATGAATTCAATGTGAAAAGAAAAACTAATTGGACCATGTCATTGGATTTTGTTTAAAAGTTTATAGAAAAAAGGAAACATTCCTGAAATTCCTTTACATGATGACTTTTCGCAAATCCAATCAGTTTTCCCACGTTTATTCAACGTCATCGCATATATATATTTTTTTATGACATGGGAACAACTTTGATTCAACCAGTTTGTGCCCAGTGGTCTTTTTTTTTTACAATAAATATCTCACCTGTTATGAATGTGACATCACAGAAACGAACAACCAGAAGTCACATCAACCAAGAACTTGTTAAACTAGAAAATGACTTTTCCTGAAGTAAAATGTCTGTGCTTCCTAGCCTTGAAGTATTTATGGTTGTGAAATAGTAGTGGTAGTGGTAGTGAAGGCAGTAGTAATGGTGGTAGGAGTAGTAATGGTCGAAATGGGGATTTCACGTCAGTAGCAATGGTAGTACTAGTTATGGTTGAATAGGGTTTTCATAGGCTATGGGTTAGTTATAGTCATGTTGTGTTTGCAAGGAATCTGATCGAGATGAATTCCATCCCTGTCCACCCTACAACTGGTGGTGTGGTCGGTGGTGTGGTGTGGTCGGTGGTCAGTGGTGTGTAGCTCAGTTGGTAGAGCATGGCGCTTGCAACGCCAGGGTTGTGGGTTCGATTCCCACGGGAGGCCAGTATGAAAAAATAAAATAATAATGTATGCACTCACTAACTGTAAGTCGTTCTGGATAAGAGCGTCTGCTAAAATGTGTGGTCGGTGGGGGGTATACAGTTCCCCTTCACTGTGCTATCCATAAAGCACAACCTGTGCATTTACAGTAATCACTGGTATTTTTTTATTTTATTATTTTTCACCTTTAATTAACCAGGTAGGCCAGTTGAGAACAAGTTCTCATTTACAACTGCGACCTGGCCAAGCAAAGCAGTGCGATAAAAACAACAACACAGAGTTACATATGGGGTAAAACAAAACATAAAGTCAAAAATACAACAGAAAATATATATACACTGTGTGCAAATGTAGCAAGTTATGGAGGTAAGGCAATAAATAGGCCATAGTGCAAAATAATTACAATTAGTATTAACACTGGAATGATAGATGTGCAAGAGATGATGTGCAAATAGATATACTGGGGTACAAATGAGCAAAATAAATAACAATATGGGGATGAGGTAGTTGGGTGGGCTAATTTCAGATGGGCTGTGTACAGGTGCAGTGATCGGTAAGGTGCTCTGACAACTGATGCTTAAAGTTAGTGAGGGAGATAAGAGTCTCCAGCTTCAGAGATTTTTGCAATTCGTTCCAGTCATTGGCAGCAGAAAACTGGAAGGAATGGCGGCCAAAGGAGGTGTTGGCTTTGGGGATGACCAGTGAGATATACCTGCTGGAGCGCAGACTACGGGTGGGTGTTGCTATGAAGAGTATCTAGAAGAGCATGGGGAAAAAAATTGATTCAAGCACTGGCCTCCAATTAAAGGCCTTCATTCAGGAGCTGCAGCCGCATGGTGTCAACTGAACATGTGAAATGAGCAATCAAATTACTTGTGGTTAGGTGTAATTGGCATCATATTAAGTAACTTGGATTGAAAACTTGTCAATACAGGGTCTCTATAAACCAGGATGAAATATATCCATAATGTCACGTATACGCCGGAACAGGAAGCAGGTGCAGAAGGTGAGTTTAATAATGAAGAATGCAGATAAACAAAACATGAGACGCGTGCAGACCGTGAATGAAAACAAACCAATACTGCCTGAGGACTGAGGCTACTGAGGGCTAAATAAAGGGAAGGTAATCAAGGTGAGCAGGTGTGCGTAATGGTGGTTGCCAGGACCGGTGGTTAGTAGACCGGTGACGTCGAGCGGGGGTAGGCGTGACATATAATAGCTATCTACCATACATCACCACTGTACTCTTGTCACTCGACACAGACACATAGTCTTGCAGCTTGTAGTCACACCTCAAGGTTGTCCGTGTCCCTGCAGATCTCTCTCCCAGCAGCTCTTGTGAGGACATGCGGAACTCATATCTGTAACCATGGGTTTTCAGCAACTTTATAGGGATATTTTTCTTATCTCTATAAAGACGACAGTGGCCTCCGCTGTAGTCAATGGGGTGGCAGGTAGCTTAGTGGTTAAGAGCGTTGTGCCAGTAACCGAAAGGTCGCTGGTTCTAATCCCCGAGCCGACTAGGTGAAAAATCTGTCGATGTGCCCTTGAGCAAGGCACTTAACCTTAATTGCTCCTGTAAGTCGCTCTGGTTAAGAGCATCTGCTAAATGACTAAAATGTAAAATGTAACTCCACACAGAACTCTCACCCAATCTCCCT